ATTCGTTCAGTCGCTTCCAGCTCTTCATGACCTCATGGACCAGCCCACGCCAGAGCTCCCTGTCGGCTGTGGCCCCATCCCCAGCTCCTTGAAGGTCAAAGCAGTCATTTTAAGGATACCATCCATCCATCTTGCCTTTGGTCGGCCCCTCTTCCATTTTCCTTCCATTTTCCCCAGTATAATAGTCTTCTCTAAGCTTTCCTGTCTTCTCATTATGTGGCCAAAATACTTCATCTTGGTCTTATATGGCACTGTAGACTCATATAATCCTGTCCAAAGCAGATCTGGATTATTTACTTTGATAATGTAGATTATATGGCAGTGTAGATCCAGCCTGAGACTGGCCTTTAGTCTGATGTAGATAACTTCTACACTGCCATATAAAATCCAAATTATCTGCTTTGAACTGGATTATGTGACAGTGTTGACTTATATAATCCAGTTCAAAGCAGATAATGTGGATTATCTGCTTTGATTATCTGGACTATATGGTAGTGTAGAAGGGCCTGTAGTCAGGCTCTTTAATTCTCTTGATAGTGTGCTGAACAAAAATGTTACTAAATGTTAATGGTTCATATTAACTAACAGTTATCTTCAAATCTTCCCAGATTCTAGCAAATCTTTCCTGATTCAGCACAACCTTATTGTCTCTGTGGCTTTCAGCAACCAATCCGCGTCACTCCTTTTAATTACTGCCCTGTTTAAATAAGATTATAAGACCTCATAGCAGGCAGGAACTGACACTTCTGAGTACACAGTGTTGAATAAAATGTTAAATAGTACAGATAGTTCCAGCAGCAGATGAAAGAACGAAGTAGAGACTCCTAGTTGAAAACAGGTTGCAGTCACGTAAACAACAGAACTTAGCACTAACTAGGCAAAGATTTATTTTTACCATGTAAGTTTTGGATAATTTCTTCTTCTCCTCTCTGATGCAAGAGACCAGATGGACAGGATTGGTGTCGTATGCAAGCAGCAAAGAAATTGATTCTGCTATTATTGTTCAAAGAATTATATTTATTTTCATGTATATTCTGTCTCTCCCCAGGGATGGAACTCAGAGGCAGCTTACTCAACTTGAATAATCAGTCTCAAAAGTACATCTGTGTGGTTTCAACCTGCCTGATGACTTATGGCAACCCATGAATTTAATTGGTTTTTCTAAAGCAAGAAATATCCAGTCCTAGATTTACCGGTTTCGTCCTCTGAAATATAGGCCCCATCTACACTGCCATATAATGCAGTTTGAAAGTGCATTATAAAGTTACTGTAGACTCATATAGGCCAGTTCAATGCAGTGAAATGTAATTACATAATAATAATAATAATAATAATAATAATAATAATAATAAAAACAATACACTATATTTATATTCTGCCCTTCTCCCCTAGAGGAGATTACACCATTTACATACATAGGCAAACATTCAATGCCTTTACAATCATATACAATGAGACACATAAACACAAACCAAGGCAGAGGCTTCTCCTTTCATTCTGGAGGTGGTGCTCATCTCTAGCTCTGGGAAGGCACTTTTCTCCTTTTTCAAGCTGAGGAGCCTGCGTTGTCATTTTCTGGTTGAGAAACACTGCCCTAAATGGTCATCCTCCAAGGAAGTCTTGCCTATTATCCAGTCCCTCAAACATATGAAGTCTTGCCTACTGAACATGGTCAAATTTTCCCCATGCCTGGTGCAAGATGCTCCCTCAGTCCTCTTCCACACAGCTGAATAAAATCTCACATTATCTGCTTTGAACTGGGATATATGGCAGTGTGGACTCAGGGCCACCTACATCCAGAGACCACTGTGGACTCAAACAATGATGGAACTGGACCAAACTTGGCACAAATATTCCATATGCCCAAATATGAACACAGATGGAGAAATAGACCTTGACATTTGGGAGTTGTAGTTACTGGGATTTATAGTTCACCTACAATCAAAGAGCATTCTGAACCCCAAAGTCCTCCTGACAAAGAGCCATCCAGCCAAAGATATAGATAGATAGATGATAGATAGATATGATTCACAGACAGATATAATATCATAGATTTCAAAGGGACCCCTAAAGAAGGACAATGATATGTTGCATATTCCAGGGTGCGCAAACCAGACACTCTCCACATCAACACTGACAAAGAAACAACAAAATATACTGTTTACCCACAAGCATAAAGAAATTACATAGATTACAAACCATTACTGTATTTTCCAGATCACCAGACTGGGCCACAGCTACGCGTGGCAGGAGACAGCTAGTCTATATAAATAAAAATGTAATGTTCATTTGTGGGATTAACATAACTCAAATACCACTGGGCGAATTGACACCAAATTTGGACACAATACACTTATCAGACCAACAAGTGACCATCATTCATAAAAACACAGCGGAAGAGACTTAAAAAGCCAAAAAAAAAACCACATTACAATACATGCACAAAACCACATATATACACAAATATATATATACACACACAAGACACATATACAAAGACTGGGACACAGCAATGCATGGCAGGGCTTGGCTAGTTTTATATAAATAAAAATTATAATGTTCGTTTGTGGGATTACCATAACTCAAATACCACTGGGCGAATTGACACCAAATTTGGACACAATACATCTACCAGGCCAAGGAGTGACCATCACTCATAAAAACATGGAAAAACATAGAAGAGACTTAAAAAGCCAAAAATCAAAAATTATATAACACATGCACAAAACCATATATATATATATATATATATATATATATATATATATATATGCGTCAACACACATATACACACAAATATATATACACACACAACGCATATACACAGACTGTGCCACAGCAACGCCTGGCAGGGTACGACTAGTAAATTAATATATTGTCGAAGGCTTTCATGGCCGGAATCACTGGGTTGTTGTAGGTTTATTCGGGCTATATGGCCATGTCCTAGAGGCATTTCCTCCTGACATTTCGCCTGCATCTATGGCAAGCATCCTCAGAGGTAGTGACTTCCAACAGACCTCACTACCTCTGAGGATTCTTGCCATAGATGCAGGCGAAACGTCAGGAGAGAATGCCTCTAGAACATGGCCATATAGCCATATAGCCTGAAAAACCCTACAACAACCCAGTAAATTAATAAATAAATGTGGAAGGGCCCTGAGTGTGGACTCAGATAACCCAGCAAAGAAGATATTCTGAGATTTCTGCCTTGATATCCTGGAGCCCCTGCCACACAGCTGAATAAAATCCCACATTTTCTGCTTTGAACTGAAATATACGGCAGTGTGGACTCAGATAACCCTGTTCAAAGCAGATATTGTGGGATTTCTGCCTTGATATCTTGGGGCCCCTTCTACACAGCTGAATAAAATCCCACATTTTCTGCTTTGAACTGGAATATATGGCAGTGTAGACTCAGCTAACCCAGTTCAAAGCAGATATTGTGGGCTATTCTGCCTTGTTGTTCTAGGTTATGTGTCCATGAGGAAAATCCAACATTTTCTGCTTTGAACTGGAATATATGGCAGTGTGGACACAGATTAACACAGTTAAAAGCAGATATTCTGGGATTTCTGCCTTGATATCTTGGGGCCCCTTCCACACAGCTGAATAAAATCCTACATTTTCTGCTTTGAACTGGAATATATGGCAGTGTGGACTCATATAACCCAGTTAAAAGAACATAGTAAGGGATTTTCAGCCTTGATATCCTGAGGGCCCTTCCACACAGCTGAATAAAACCCCACATTTTCTACTTGGAATTGGAATATATTTATTTATGTATTTATGACATTTATATGGCGCCCCTCTCACCCCAAAGGGGACTCAGAGCGGCTTATGGCAATGTGGACTCAAATAACCCAGTTCAAAGCAGATATTGTGGGCTATTCTGCCTTGTTGTTCTAGGTCAGGGGTCCTCAAACTTTTTAAACAGAAGGCCAGGTCACAATCCCTCAAACTGTTGGAGGGCCGGAATATAATTTGGAAAAAAAAATGAATGAATTCCTATGCACACTGCACATATCTTATTTGTAGTGCAAAAGACACTTAAAAATAATACAATAATTAAAATGAAGAACAATTTTAACAAATATAAACTTAGAATTTCAATGGGAAGTGTGGGCCTGCTTTTGGCTGATGAGATAGGATTGTTGTTGTTGTTATTGTTGTTGTTGTGTGCTTTCAAGTCATTTCAGACCCATAGGAACCCACACGATCTCTTCGATCATCTGGAGAGGCCCTGCTCACGCTCCCACCTTCTTCACAGGCGCAATTGGTGGGAACGAGGGAAAGGGCCTTCTTGGTGGTGGCCCCCTGACTCTGGAACTCACTTCCCAGGAACATTAGACATGCCCCAACGTTGGCAATCTTTGGGAGGAGCCTAAATCCTACCCTAGTTATATTTTACCTTGTTCACATCAGCCTATTTTCAATTTTAATCTATTACATTTGGCCTGGCCATTTTTAAAATTGTTTACGTCTCTATTGATTGTTTTTTGTTTATGTGATTTATATGATTTGTATTTTATTGATGTTGTGTTTATTGATGTTTTGTTTGATGTACTTTGGGCTTGGCCTCATGTAAGCCACACCGAGTCCCTTGGGGAGATGGTAGCAGGGTACAAATAAAGTTTATTATTATATTATTAAGTTGACCCTGAGCGAGGGCCGGGTAAATGACCTTGGAGGGCCGCATCCAGCCCCAGGGCCTTAGTTTGAGGAGCCCTGTTCTAGGTTATGTGTCTGTGAGGAATGGACTGAAGCGCTCCCTTCTTCACCCCCCTGTCTTTATAAGGAGCAGCGCCAGGCTCCTCTCCGCCTCATTGGGCAGCCTGTCTCTCCATCAAACTCTCCGCAGCCAACCGCGTGCCTGGCCCCGCCTTTCCCCCCTCCCATCGATGGCCTGAGAGAGCGCAGCGCCTCATTCGGCGGAGGCGCCTCCTTCTCGCAGGGTCTGGGGAGGCATCGCTCTCCCTTCAGGGAAGCAGGGCAGGCAGGCGGGCGGGCGGGCGGGCGGGGGCGGCTCGAGAGAGGCCACCTCCATGCGGCGCCTCGGAGGCTGCCTGGCGGTGCTTCCCTTCAGGGAAAGGTTGGCCGGCTAGCCAGCGGGGGCCTTGTCCTCCTAGTCCTCCCTCCCTCCCCTCCTGAAGCCTTTCTCTGCCTTGGCTGCTCATCCCCCCCCCCTCCACACACACACACACACACACACAGAAGGGGGGCCCTGGCTGCCAGTCACGGGTCTTCATGAACCCTAAGGATGTCCGGGAAGCACTACAAGGGTCCTGAAGTCAGTTGTTGCATCAAGTATTTCATCTTCGGCTTCAATGTGATCTTCTGGGTGAGTGCCATGAATGGGGATCATGAAGAGGAGGAGGAGGAGAAGGCTATGTTATGGAGCTGGGGAGCATACCTTCAGTCAAGGATCAGAGACATTATTATTATTATTATTATTATTATTATTATTATTGTGACACAGAAACACAATATGTCACAGCAAACGAGATCTATATGCTGGGTTTCGTATTATTATTGTTATTATTTTAGTGACACAGAAACACAGTATGTCACAGCAAACGAGATCTATATGCTGGGTTTCATATTATTATTGTTATTATTTTAGTGACACAAACACAGTATGTCACAGCAAACGAGATCTATATGCTGGGTTTCGTATTATTATTGTTATTATTATTTTAGTGACACAGAAACACAGTATGTCACAGCAAACGAGATCTATATGCTGGGTTTCATATTATTGTTGTTATTATTATTATGCTCTCTCAGTAACAGTGAAGTGAGATGTTCAATTATTATTATTATTATGCTTATTATTATTATAATTCACAGTAACAGTGAAATGTTCTGTTATTTATGGAACTGGGGAGCATACCCTCTAACTGTTCAGAGATAATTTTTTTATTATTATTATTAAGGTTCAGAGAGAAATGTATTATTATTATTATTATTATTATTATTATTATTATTATTTTAGTGACACAGAAACACAGTATGTCACAGCAAACAACATCTATATGCTGGGTTTCATATTATATTATTATTATTATTATTATTATTATGCTCTCTCAGTAACAGTGAAGTGAGATGTTCAATTATTATTATTATGCTTATTATTATTATAATTCACTGTAACAGTGAAATGTTCTGTCATTTATGGAACTGGGGAGCATACCCTCAGTAACCATTCAGAGAGAAATGTATTATGATTTATGATTTATTATTATTCACATAACGGTGAAGTGAGATGATACAGTAATAATAATGTTCTGTCCTTTCATTTATGGAACTGGGGAGCATACTTTCAGTAAAGGTTCAGAGAGAAATGTATTATTATTTTACTGACACAGAAACACAGTATGTCACAGCAAACGAGATATATATGCTTCATTTTGTATTATTATGCTCTCTCAGTAACAGTGAAGTGAGATGTTCAATTATTATTATGATGCTTATTATTATTATAATTCACTGTAACAGTGAAATGTTCTGTCATTTATGGAACTGGGGAGCATACCCTCTAACTGTTCAGAGATATTTTTATTATTATTATTAAGGTTCAGAGAGAAATGTATTATTATTATTATTATTATTTTAGTGACACAGAAACACAGTATGTCACAGGAAGCGACATCTATATGCTGGGTTTCGTATTATTATTATTATTATTATTATGCTCTCTCAGTAACAGTGAAGTGAGATGTTCAATTATTATTATTATGCTTATTATTATTATAATTCACAGTAAAAGTGAAATGTTCAGTCATTTATGGAACTGGGGAACATACCCTCTAACTGTTCAGAGATAAATTTATTTATTTATTGTTAAGGTTCACAGAGAAATGTATTATTATTGTTATTATTATTATTTTAGTGACACAGAAACACAGTATGTCACAGGAAGCGACATCTATATGCTGGATTTCGTATTATTATTATTATTATTATTATTATTATTTTAGTGACACAGAAACACAGTATGTCACAGCAAACGAGATCTATATGCTGCATTTTGTATTATTATGCTCTCTCAGTAACAGTGAAGTGAGATGTTCAGTTGTTATTATTATGCTTATTATTATTATTATTCACAGTAACTGTGAAGTGAGATAACAATAATAATCTGTCGTTCATGGAACTGGGAAGCATACCCCTCAGTAACTGTTCAGAGATAATTTTATTTATTTATGATGATTATTATTATTATTCACAGTAACGGTGAAGTGAGATGATACAGTAATAATAATGTTCTGTTCTTTCATTTATGGAACTGGGGAGCATACCTTCAGTAAAGGTTCAGATAGAAATGTATTATTATTATTATCATTATTATTATTATTTTAGTGACACAGAAGCACAGTATGTCACAGCAAACGAGATCTATCTGCTGGATTTCGAATTATTATTATGCTCAGTAACAGTGAAGTGAGATGTTAAATTGTTATTATTATGCTTGTTATTAGTCACAGTAACAGTGAAGTGAGATGATACAATAATAATAATGTTCTGTCCTTTGACTCATGGAACTGGGGAGCATACCTTCAGTAACTGTTCAGAGATAAAATTATTTATTTATTATGTTGATGATTGTTATTATTCACAGTAACGGTGAAGTGAGATGATACAGTAATAATAATGTTCTGTCCTTTCATTTATGGAACTGGGGAGTATACCTTCAGTAAAGGTTCAGAGAGAAATGTATTATTATTATTATCATTAATATTTTACTTACACAGAAACACAGTATGTCACAGCAAACAAGATCTATATGCTGGATTTTGTATTATTATTATTATTATTATTATTTCTCAGTAACAGTGAAGTGAGATATTCATTTATTATTATTATTATTATGCATATTATTATTACTATTATTATAAGTCACAGTAACAGTGAAGTGAGATAATAATATTCTGTCATTTATGGAACTGGGGAGCATACCCTCAGTAACCATTCAGAGAGAAATGTATTATGATTTATGATTTATTATTATTCACATAACGGTGAAGTGAGATGATACAGTAATAATAATGTTCTGTCCTTTCATTTATGGAACTGGGGAGCATACCTTCAGTAAAGGTTCAGAGAGAAATGTATTATTATTATTATTATTATTATTATTATTATTATGTTCTCTCAGTAACAGTGAAGTGAGATAATAATCATAATGTTCAATTATTGTTGCTATGATGCTTATTATTATTACTATAATTGTAATTCACAGTAACAGTGAAGTGAGATGACAATAATGTTCTGTCATTTATGGAACAGCAGAGCATGCCCTCAGGAACTGTTCAGAGAGAAAATTATTATTATTATGCTCATTCAGTAACTGTGAAGTGAGATAATAATATTGTTCTGTCATTTATGGAATTGGGGAGCATACCCTCAGTAACAGTTCAGTAAGAAATTTATTATTATTATTATTATTATTATTATTATTATTATTGTGCTTATTATAATTATAATTCACAATAACAGCAAAGTGAGAAAATGAGAATAATGTTCAGTCATTTATGGGACTGGGGAGGTAGCATACCCTCAGTTACCATTCAGTGATTTAATTTATTATTATTATTATTATTATTATTATTATTATTACTATTCTCTCTCCGTAACAGTTCAGTGAGAAAATGATAATAATGTTCAGTCATTTATGGGCCTGGGGAGAGAGCATACCCTCAGTAACCATTCAGTGATAAATGTATTATTATTGTTATTACTATTATGCTCTCTCAGTAACAGTTCAGTGATACTACTACTACTACTACTACTACTACTACTACTACTTCTTCTGTTCTCTCAGTAACTGTGAAGTGAGATGATAATAATAATAATAATAATAATAATAATAATAATAATAATGTTCTGTCCTTCCATTGTTGAACAGGGGAGCATCCCCTCAGTAACAGTTCAGAGGGAATTATTATTATTATTATTATTATTATTATTATTATTATTATTATTATTATTTTTCAGGGCCTTTCCACACAGCCATATAACTCAGAATATCAAGGCATAATAACCCACCATATCTGCTTTGAAGTGGGTTATCTGAAGCCCCTTCCACACAGCTGAATAAAAGTCCACATTATCTGCCTTGAACTGGAATATATGTCAGAATGGACTCAGATAACCCAGTTCAAAGCAGATATTGTGGGATTTTCTGCCTTGGTATCCTGGGTTACGTATATGGCATTGTGGGTATGGAGTCCACACTTCCATATATCCCAGTTCAAAGCAGATAATGTGGGATTTAATTCAGCTGTATGGAAGGGGCCTCAGTAACTATGAAGTGAGATAATAATAATGTTCTGTCACTTATGGAACTGGGTAGCATCAGTAACAGTTCAGAGAGAAATTGTTATTGCTATTATTGTGTTTATTTCTATCCCACTTTATCTCGCTAAATAGGCACCCGTGATAATAATGTCATATTATTCATGGAAATGGGGAGCATCATTCGTGCACTTTCTCAGTAACATGAGTCAAATAACAACAACAGAGGCAACAACAATAATAATGTTCTGTTCTTTCATTCATGGAACTGGGGAGCATAATGCACGCACTCTCAGTAACATAAGTGGAATAATAATAATGGAAATGGGGGCATCAAGTGTGAACTTTTTCAGTAACAATGTATGAAATCATAATCCTAGTGTTATATAATATGATTTTTATAGGTTATATTATTTAATTCATGGAAATGGGAAGCATCATGCATTGTCAAGTGAGAAACATACTCACCCACAGAAAAAGACTGAAAAAAATCAACACAGAGTTCAGTAGTAAATTTCTGATAAGGGTTTGTGTTGTGTGTCTTTATGTGCATTGTGTGTGCGGGAGCATTACAATGAACGTCCTAGCAGTTCTGGACTATGTGTGTGTGTATGCATTCTCTTGGGTATGCATTTGTAAGCTTTCTGTGTTGCTTTCCCTGCCAATCTCTCTCTCTCTCTTTTTTTTTTAAAAAACAACAACAACAGTAACAACAATGAGACAACAATGGGATTTCAGTTCCCTCTTCAGTGGTTCTCAACCTGGGGTCCCCAGATGGTTTTGGCCTACAACTCCCAGAAATCACAGCCAGTTTACCAGCTGTTCCAATTTCTGGGAGTTGAAGGCCAAAAGCATCTGGGGACCCCAGGTTGAGAATCACTGTGTTAGCTAAATAGGTTTCATTTGTCAGTTGTGTGACTCTCCACAGCTCGCTCGGTCACTCCTTCCTTCCTTCCTTCCGTCCTTCCCTCCCTCCCTCCCTCCTTCCTTCCTTCCCCAGTTGTGTCTGTATTGTTGTGATTAAACTGATAAGATTTTCCCAGT